TTTAACACAGCTGACTAGGTCCTACCAGGAAAGAAGATGGGCAACCTCAGCCAGCTATCCTCTGGAGAAGACAAGTCGCTGCTTCGAAAGAAGGCCTGGGAAGTATTATTTAATTCACCTCTACAGGAAGAATATAACTTTCCCCCAGATCATTATGGCCTCCCTGCAGTTTGTGATCTCTTTGCCTGTAGGCAGCTTAAAGTTGGTAAGTTGATAAAAAGAAGTGGTTATATCGAACTCATCTACAGATGTGAAGGAATGGACAAGAGTTGAGCAGCCTTTCTGCTGATTATCACACATCATGAGCTGAGTGACTGAGGCTTGCCAAATCATTGTGTTTCTGGGTCTGACCCGTTAGCTTAGTTCTTCCTCTGCCTAATTTTGAACTAGCAAAGCGAAGTGAGTCATCAGATTATGAGTTACTGTTTAAAAGAAAAATGTTGTTTATTGATGCTGAGCTGATTCAGTTCCTTCCTTCTTACAGAAGTGTTAATTCACCCCCACACTAGAAATGCAGCATCTTTGTGGATACATCTTTTTCACAAGCCTCCAAGGCTCCTTAGATCAGGTCGTTACAAAAAGTACATCAAAACAGTCTAGTTTTAAAAATGAAATATTTCTGTAATCGAAGTGTATTGATGTATTCTCAAGCTAGTAAACTTCCCTAACATTTAATTCCCCTATAGATGCTTCTCTAGCTATGGGTTTTCTTCTGTTGGTGGTCTGAAATAATGATTTTCCTGTTCTATTAACATATAGTGTATTTTGCACAAAAAATTAACTTGGCCAATAGTGATTACCAAAATATATATTAATAATCTTGGCAATTTTTGACATTAATTATCAAACATTTTAGATTACATGTTCTACATTATTCTTCTTCACTTGAAAGAAATTCAGCTACTGCAAATTTTTTCTTTCTTTCTGTAAATGTTATTAAAATATCCAGTGAGCTCTTTTAGAAGGGCTCCGTATTATTTCAAGACTATTTTTAAGGTAGTTCTAGCCTTTTAAAATATTCTACAGACCTGTGGGGTTCAAAAGAACCCCAGTAACAAATAAGCAAATAGGCAAAAGACATGTTGGAAATGTAGTATAGTATTTGAACCATTCACTATCATAGGGATTATTGGTGCATCCTGGGTAATGGAAGCAGAGCTTGACACCTGGTGCTTTTAACCAGGGATAAAGTCGTCCTCTCACTCACTGTAAGCACAGCATAACTGTACCTCCAAAAGTGACATTTTAGTGAACAGGCCATTTTCAACACTTGTGCCTTGGGGTGTGTTCATTGAAGCTTTATGAAAACTACTGAGGTTTTCTCTATCTCCTTAAAGTTATGTCCATGCTTTAAAATGTCTCTGTAGAAGAGAAGTGGGGTTTATAATGTTTTTAAATTCTCTAAGATGTATTTGCTGCTTTCCAGACTTTGAAACTATTAAGCTTCTTAACTGCCTCTTATTGAAATACTTCTGGAGAAACTTCAGGGTCTCACAATATCATTGTCATACAGCTTCACTACAGTTCTCTGAACCACAGCTGAAAGAGTTTTGTATTATTTTTTAATTCCCTCCCCAGATATCATACAGAACTATTACAATAAAGGTGGTGGGCAAAAAACAATGTCAAGAGCCTTTCCAGTTATCTTAAGTTGCAGCTAACTCTGTAGTTTCTTTTTTGAGGCCAAATACACTGTATTTTACATTGTCAAAATATAATTTACATTAATCACTATGTTAATGAGTATTTAAAACATTATTTTGCATTGATGAATTTTGTATCTGCCTCCATTAAAAGCATAACAGCCATAAAATAATAATAATCAAATCAAAATGTTTCAGCTAATTTTCAGGATTCCTGAGAATATGGCTTCATCCTACAATTTGTAAGCTAAGCACTAATAAAATACAAGAGAAATTCCCCAGCTTTACAAGATTCAGTAAGATACCTCAAAGTAGGCTATATCTAGTGTATTAGTCTGATTTCACGCTGCTGATAAAGACATACCTGAGACTGGGTAATTTATACAGGAAAAAGGGTTTAATGGACTTACAGTTCTACATGGCTGAGGAAGCCTCACAATCATGGCAGAAGGCAAGGAGGAGCAAGTAATGTCTTACATGGATGGCAGCAGGCAAAGAGAGAGCTTGTACAGGGAAACTCCTGTTTTTAAAACCATCAGATCTCATGTGACTCATTCACTATCATGAGAACAGCACAGGAAAAAGACCTGTCCCCATAATTCAATCACCTCCCACCAGGCTCCTCCCATGACACATGGGGATTGTGGGAGTTACAATTCAAGATGAGATTTGGGTAGGGACACAGCCAAACCATATCAGTTATCTTTGTATTTATAGCACAACTATTTGCTCACAGAATTAATGAATGTATGCCATAATTCTGCATGGGTCAATAACTCTACTACACTGATTACTCAGTTAATTGATGTTTATAAAATGTACATTTTTTTCCAGATTTTACAGTAATATATATTTACTTTAAGGACTTTCTTTTTAAACTGATTTCAATATATGGATATTTTCCTTCATTAAAAATTTGCTCAGCAGCAGCAGTCTGACTTGGGATATTTATCTTGAAATTGATCCAATGAATAGTCTCAATTTCAATAACTACTCTGGCAAGAAAAAGCATACAGAATTTCCAAAATCAATACAGTAGATCAGTGTCTGCAGCACAGCACAATTCATACAGGCAATGCAGTGTTGTATCATGTGTTTCCATTTCTCAATGCTAACTGAAGATAAGCTGTCAAATGCCATTAATCTGTTTACCACATTCCACTCCTCCTCTCCCCCAACAGAAGGCTTTATTTTCTCTTTTTCAAATAATTTCAGAAATTTTGTAGAGCAGGATGACTTCTTAAATAAGCAACTTTTAAATAGGTTTTAAATAGGTCACCGTGAGTGAAGAGTAATAAAGAATGAACACTAAATTCATGAAGGGATTCTCTAAAGTTCTCTGTCCACTTTACCTTTTATCACTTTTCCAGTAAGATTCAGATTTCCAAATTTCCACTTTTAGGCTTAAATGTGCTTGTGAAGTCTCTATTTTTCTAAATCCCATCACCATTAAATGTTCTGATACATTCCCACTGCTACCACCCTATTTCAAATCTAGAGTTGAACTAGGAAGCTCTGAGACCAACTATGATACCTGGGTAATTTCTCATATTCTCAAAGTTCCTTCACTTACAAAATGAAAACATTAAGATCTACGTATCAGGGTCGTGGTGAGTATGAACGAGACAGTATGCATGAGAGAGCCTGGGACAGGGCCTGGCATCAAGCAGGTGCTAATCGCCTCTAAGAAACGTTCCTCTTTTCTCTCTCCTTCCTCGGTCCTCCTTCCAGACTTCACAGCAAGACTCATCCTGAAAGGTGAATGTGATCTCCTTACCCTCCTACTCAAATTCCTCCAAAAGTTCACCGTACCCTAGGACAGTGGTTCTCAAAGTGTAGTCCCCAGACCAGCAGCACCTCTTGCACTTGCCTTTCCAAACTTCCTCTAAGGAGAGTTTACTTACTATCTTCCAAACCTGCCACTCTCCCAACCCCAAGATTTAACTCATCTTTTACATCCTTCTCCCTCTATGATCTCTCTCCTATACTACTCAGCTTAAAATCTTTCCTGACGATCCCGATCTCTAGGACTTTTTCTGATCTCTAATTCCAATTATTTCTGAATACAAAGAGTCTTCATCTTACGATGGGGTTTGTGTCTGATAAACCCACTGCAAAGTCAAAAAATCTTTAACTGAACCATTCTGTAAGTGTAGTACTGTACTAAGGTGAAAATCTGCAGAGGTCACAAACTAGTTGCACCTGGCCCACCCAGAGAAGGTGTGGGTTAACTAAATTGGTTGCAAGTAACATTAAAAATCAAGAAAAATTAGGCAAAAATACAGATCTTTGGCCTGTGTTGGAGACAATCGGATCTGCGTTTGAGAGACCCACATTCCCATGTGGCAACAATCAGCTAAATGGTAAATGTTTCAAGCATTCACCAGCTCTTTCCATTCTAAATAAAGGTTTTCTTTTGACATCAAATATCTCAAATGGTGATTTACATTTCTTATGGTTATGTAACTTCATGCTTATTTTTTCTCTCCTAATAGGATACAGACCTTAAAGTACCTGTCCCTGTCTTTGACTTTTTAAAAACCTCTTGTTACCCTGAACACAAACCAGTATTTAGTGCAAAATTATTGTAAAAGAATATTCTGAACATTGTAGACAACCGGAAAATGCTGAATAATCCACACAGTTTTTTCTGGAAACTTTTGGCTTTCTACCAAGTTGGAAAAGTTTTATTAGTTTATGTTTTCCAAACATATGGATTAGGGTACAATTCTTAAGACAGATAATAAACATTTTTTATCATATTACTTTGGTTTAGGTTGTCTTTCATTTTCTAATGAGAAATACATATGAAGACAGCATGCCCTCTGCTGAGATTTAGCCCTAGCCCGGCACAGCATGTGACAGAACCTAGATACTGTTTGTAACTTTTAGTTTGAATCCTACTTTTATATCCTCGATTTTATTTCCCGGAAAAGAGTTTTAATTTCACTCTTTGGTAGAAGTCATAATGGCTTTCTCCGTTCCGGCCTCAGGTTAACCATTCACCTGGTTTGGCAGCGACAAAAGATGAGCCACCTTAACAAAGCTGCCTTGCTGTGGCTCAAAAATAACCTGAGAAACCTAACCAAAATGAGAATTTTAAAACACTGTTTACGTACGGGGCCTCTGTTAAACCTTCCATTTGAACCCATTTGCCGACTCTTGCCTGTCCACACATATCCGCACCCCTAACATCAATATCAGGAGAATATTCGATAATACTCTCCTTTTCCTTCCCCCACCCCAAATCCTCCAGGGGGCGCCCCGGAGGACCGCGCTGGCCCCCCAGCGGGAGGGCGGCCATAGGCGGGAGCCCAGGCCCGACTCCCTAACGCCGCGCGCACTCCCCATACTCACCCTCCCGAAGTCACGGAAGTGCCGCCCGACCCCGCCCCTTCCGCCGGATCCTCCCACGCAGAAGCAGCGCCGACTGCAGGCGCGTGGGGCCCGTAGATCGCCTGGGGCCGGGTGGCGGCGCGGGGCATGGCCAGGGTCCCCGCGGACGTGGCCGCGCAGTTCCGGCGTGTGGCGGAGAGCGCGTGAGCGTGAAGGCCTCCCGGCTTGCGGCAGGCTGCGGAAGCTCTACGCCGGGAAGTTCTCTGGCGGGGGAGGGGAGGGCGGTTTACGGCCTTTAGGGTAGGTTTTGCCCTTTTTTTAAGGTCCACATGGACTCTTTCGCCTCCGAAGTTCGAGGGTAACTTTCGTTCCGTCCCGACCTTCGCGACACCCTCGAGTCGGACGGAGGCCGAGTCCTGCCGTCAGCCCCTAGCAGCCTGGGGCCGGGACCCCCGGAGCCCCTTCTTCCGCTCTTTGGAAACTTATAATGTGGGGTGAGGGAGAGACGCGTTACGTTTTATAGACCGGTGAATTTAAAGACATTCAGGCTTCTCATAGTGATTTGAAGAAATGCTCAGCGTTCGGCCGAAATAGAGTTTTACGTTTTTAAAGCATGGCGTGGTTTTTAAAGGTTGAAGTTCCCACAATTTTTTTCTCTTGAAAGGCACCCATTCGTTTTGATTAGTATTTCTTAACATGCACCCAATGCCAGGACTCAGCCTCACTGCTGCAGGGATGTCCACGGGAAGTCCCGAGGGGGGAAAGGCACAAGCCTGAAATGGCATAATATTTGCTACCTCACTGCGTGGGCGGAGTGGTAACTGATTTTTAAAAAACCTCTTAGATGATGTAATAAGTAGTAAAGCCGTTGTATGCTATTCTAGAATTTTTGAGAACAACTTAATCACCCAAATGTTTGCTATAATGTGATAAAGATAGTATCCATAGGCAGCAGTCAGGATCGAATTATGACAAGTAGATATGGTTATAAATGGGGGCCATGCAGTATAATTAGTATATGGAACCAAGATGTCAGTCCTCACACAGAATTTGTGTAATGACATGCATTTGGGAGGCTTCAGGCCTTTTCAGCTATTAGATACAGGTTGATTCTTACTGAATATGGAATAATAAAAAATGAATTACTGGTCTCACCATTTTCATTATTACTATTTGGACTAAAAGACTACCACTTTTACTCTAAAGAGTGAGTGTAGACTCAATAGTCAATGACAGAAAATTAAGCACAAGTCTAAATGAAGCCAAGGATCTAGTGGAGAGGACATAGAATCAGACCTTTCAAATCTCAGTTATTGAACACAAACAATCACAGTTCTTGAGACGTTTTACTTCCTTTCTTTAAACTTGGCGTTGCTCATCTGAACAATTGTTTTGGTAAGGGTTACGTTTCATGAAAGCCCAGTTTGTGCTACCTTAGAAGTGAAGAAGTTTGTTAATTTTAAAATTGAGTTAATCCTTAACCTGCTTTTCATTCTACAAACTCTAAAACACTTTCATGCATGTCACTTTTTTATTCAGAAGTTTTCTAAACAGTACAGCTTGGGGAACACATTTCCGTGGAACATTAGTCTCTTGCAAAATGTTAATAGATGCTTCATGGGAAAAAAAAATTGCTAGCATTACCAATACCGGCGAAAATATGAACCTGTCATTATGAGGCTATGGGAAATACACCTACGTAACACTCTTGCCAAAAATGTTTAACCTGAATCTGATTGTGAGGAAACACTCGGATAAATTCAGAATGAGATTTGTTTGGACCTTTCAATAAGGTTAATATGGAAGACAATAAAAAAAGGCAGGAGGACTGATCTACATTAAAGACAGCTGTCAACTAGATAGCCTTAAGGATTTAAAAAATTTGAACCTGGGCCGGGCGCAGTGATTCACGCCTGGAATCTCGCACTTTGGGAGGCGGAGGCGGGTGGATCACGAGGTCAAGAGATCAAAACCATCCTGGCCAACATGGTGAAACCCTATCTCTACTAAAAATACAAAAATGAGCTGGGCTTGGTGGCGCGTGCCTGTAGTCCTAGCTACTCCGAAGGCTGAGGCAGGAGAATCACCTGAACCCGGGAGGCAGAGGTTGCAGTGAGCCGAGATTGGGCCACTGCACTCTACCCTGGCGACAGAGACTCCAGTCTCAACAAAACAAAACAAAAAAAACGGTCAGGTGAGTAGTATATGAATGTTCTTTTAACACCTCTATAGATTTGAAAATTTTCAAAATAAACAGTTGAGGACAAATTGTAGCTAGCAATGCTGGAAACCCATTTCTGCCTCCCAGCAGGTGGCAGCAAATTAATACTCCATAAGGTACAGGAAAATCATTGCAATTTCCTTGTGTTGGTAAATGTTTTGGATGTTGCAGACTGGCTTTTTTTAGGGATAGGATCCAAAAGAATATTGTTGCCAGATTATGGATGTTGATGTTAATTTATCAACTAGTTGGGAAAGTACTTATTGTTCTTCATTGCTCATCTCTCACAGAACCAAAAGTCTGTTTGTAAGCTCTTTTATTGGAATAACAGTCAAGCTCATGTTACTTCATAAACACTCTCCATAACCATTAATTGGCTAATATCCATCAATACAACATTTCAAAGTTTATGAAATACAACTAAAGTATTCTCAGAGGGAAATTTATAGTTTTTTCTTGCCTTTGTTAGAAAAGAAGAAAAAAAATCAGTGATCTAAGTCAGGATCAGCAAACTGTGGTCTACAGGCCAAGTCCAGTGCATAGTCTTCTTCTGTACAGCCTACAAAACTCTAGAAAAACTCATTTTAAAAATAGACAAATTACCAGTATCTGGAGTGAAAGAACGCTAAAGATTCTACAGACATTAAAACGTGGGTCTCAACCAGAGGGTTTTTTCCCCCCAAGGAACATTTGGCAATGTCCAGAGACATTTTTGGTTGTCACAGTTGGAGAGTCTGCTATCAGAAGACAGGCCAGGGAAACAGCTGAATATTCTGCAATGCAGAGGACAGTCCCCCACAGCAATTTGCTGGCCTGCAATGTCGATAGTGCTGAGATTGAAAAATTCTAATTAAAACCATAAAATAATATTATAAACAAATTTATACCAATAAAATCTGATAAGTTAGAATAAAATGTTTTTGGGGCCAGGCATGGTGGCTCATGCCTGTAATCCCAGCACTTTGGGAGGTCGAGGCGGGTGGATCTCTTGAGGTCAGGAGTTTGAGACCAGCCAGGCCAACTTGGAGAAACCCCGTCTCTACAAAAATACAAAAATTAGCCAAGTGTGGTGGCATGCACCTGTAATCCCAGCTACTTGGTAGGCTGAGGCAGGAGAATCACTTGAACCTGGAGGCAGAAGTTGTAGTGAGTTGAGCGTGCACCACTGCACTCCAGCCTGGATGACGGCGAGACTCTGTCTCAAGAAAAAAAGTTTTTTGGAAAAAAAAAAAAAACTTATCAAAACACTGAAGAAGAAATAGAAAATCTGAGTACTTGTATATCTGTTACAAAATTTGAATTCATAATTTAAAAATACAAAGAAAACCATCCCCCTTAGTGAATTCTATCCAGCATTTAAATAACATACAATGTCAATTTTATATAAACTCAGAGAATAGAGGAGGAAGGAGTAACAGCAGAGCCTTCGGAAAAATCTAACACACATTAGAGGAAAAAAAAACACAAACTAATATTACTCACTAATACAGATGCAGAATTCCTATAGAAAATACTAGCAAATTGAACCCAGAAAAAAATAAAATGCAGTGGCCAATTGTGGTTTATCCAGAATGCAAGATTTGCCCAACATTAAAGAACAGTAATTTACAACATTAATAAAGGAGAAAATCTTAATAATGGCAGAAAAAGCATTTGACATAATTTATTGCCAACTCATGATAACAATCACAAAACTAGAAATAAAAGAGAGCTTTATAAAGGACATCTGTGAAAGATCAATAGCTATTATGCTTAATGGTGAAATATCCAATCCTAGGATTGGGAACGAGGTAAAGCTGTCGGCTCTCATCACTTCTATTCAGAAATTCTAGACAGTACAATAAATAATTAAAATAATAAAAGATAAATATTAGAAAAGTGCAAAACTGTCTATTCACAGTGGTCTATGTAGAAAATCTGTTTTTCAAAGCTACTAAATAAATTGTGTTTTGTAGACTATCCATGTGGAAAATCTTCAGCATCTACTGGATGTTGAAGTCATGGGGTAAAAGCTCAGTATATACAAAAAAATACTTTATATACTAGTAAGCAGCAATTGGAAAATGACATGTTAAAATATGCCATTTATAATAGTACAGATGATCCCTGACTTAGGAGGGTTTGACTTACGATTTTTTTTTTACTTTATAATGATGTGAAAGTGATAGACATTCAGAATGCTCCTCAGGTTACAATGGGGTTACATTCAGATAAACCCATTGTAAGTTGAAAATATTGAGTTGAAACCCCACTACGATTTACAGTATTTTCCATTTAGGATGGGTTTATTCAGACATAACCTCATCATAAGTTGAGGAGCATCTGTATTATAAATACCTAGGAATATGTTTAATGAAAGACATGCAAGAGCTGTACTCTAAAGTGACAAAACATTGCTTAAATGAAAGAGCTAAATAAATGGAGAGATGTGCCATATTTATGCATACTGAACATGTGTCAAGAAAGACCATATTCTGGGTTATAAATCTCAATTTATAAGAATGAAAATCATACAGTATTGTTCTCCAACCACAATGGAATTAGAAGTCAATAATAGGTCTTTGGAAATCTCCAAACCTCAATAATCAGAGGCGCAGATTTTCCAGACTGCTGGCCTCAAAAGTTCAGACTGACACTGAAGACATTCTTCTCTGCACAGCCAAGCCAATTGATTCACATGGGAAATAATTTTGGACATATTGCCACATTCTAACCAACTGCACTAACCTGGCACTGCCCTGAGATTGGGGTATGCTGGAAGCAACTGCAGACGGCTATATACTTTATTGTACTAAAACAGAGTTACAGCATATTTAAAATTCATGAAATTGTTCCCATTTCTTGCTTTCCTTCCCTCACAGTCTGAAAATACTGATGAAAAATCTGGGAACAAGATTATGGGTGTAGTTGACAAAACAGAAAATCTGTTCCTGGACAGCTTTTGATGAATTTAATAAGACAGAGATAATGAACATAGACTACATTTACATAATGGCATAACAAAAATTCATTGAACAATGCTAACTGGGGGAAACTACAGTTTGAAAACTGAATGTAAGATTGTGGTTCTGGCAAGATTACTCATTCTATTTAATGATTATACATGGTGTTGAAGGGGATGGGGGAATAGTCCATTTTGTGCTGCTATAACAGAATACCTGAGACTGGGTAATTTATTAAGATTAAAATAAACATTTACTTCTTAGAGTTCTGGGGGCTGAGAAGTACAAGGTTGAGGGGCTCACATCTGGTGAGGGACTTAATGCTGTGTCATTCCATGGCAGAAAACGGAAGGGTAAGAGAGGGGAAGAGGGGTGGCTGGGGAGAGGACTGGCTTCATCCTTTTATGTGGAACTCACTCCTGTGACAACCAGTTCATTCCTGTGAAGTGGCATTAATCGGTGTCTGCGGGCAGAGGCCTCATTACTTAATCACCTCTCAACACTGTTGCATTGGGGATCAGGCCTCTAACATGTGAACTTCAGGGGACACATTCAAACCATAGCATTCCACCCCTAGCCTTCAAACCTTATGACTTCTCACCATGCAAAATACATTCATTCTATCCCAATTGTCCTAAAAGTCTTGCTCTACATCAGTTCAAAAGTCCAAAGACCGAAGTCTCATATAAATCAGATATGGGTGAGATTCAAGGCACAATTCATCCTAAGGCAAATTCCTTTCCAGTTGTGAGCCTGTGAAATTTAACAAGTTATCTACTTTATATATATATATAAACATATATATATAAACATATATATATATGTTGGGACAGCATAGGATAGACATTCCCATTCCAAAAGGGAAAAACAAGCAAGAAGAAAGTAACAGGACCCAAGCAAGTATAAAATCCAATAAGAAAAATGAGTTTTAAAGCTGGAGAATAATCTCTTTTGACTCCATATCCCATATCCTGGGCACACCAGGATGGGGCAGCGTCCCCAAGGCCTCATGCAGCTCCATTCCTACTGCTTTGGTGGACTGTCCACTGAGCAGTGCTCAGATCGAAATTTCATGCCTCCAGCTTTCCCAGATTGGAGTTGCATGCTGGTATGGGAGCTGCCCCACTCTCAAGACCACTAGGCATTGACCTATTGGGCTGTCCACATTCTTTGAAATCTAGGTGGAAGTCACCATGGCCCCACAGCTCTTGCATTCTGCACACCTGCAGAATCAGCACCACATGATGCCACCAAGGCTTCCCCTTGTGTCCTCTGGAATGGCAGCCTGAGCCACAGCCAGGCCTGCTTGAACCACTGCTGGGGTGACAGGATTATTGCACTGGCATACAGGGAGCAGAGTCTGGAAGTGGTCCTGGGCAGCAAGCCCATGGAGGGCACCCTGGGTCGTCCACCACAAAACCATTTTGTTCTAGAGCTCTGGGCCTGTGATGGAAGGGGAGCCTCAAAGATGTCTGAAATTCCTTTCAGGTCATTCTCCACGGTCTTGATGAATATCACCTGGTTTCCTTCTAGCCATACTAACCTCTTTAGCAAATAGTGGCTTGGCCATATCTTTGGTTTGCTGTCCTAAAGATACCGTTTTACTTGTGATCTGAGAAACCAAAATAGATGCCCCTTTATCAACTAAGACAAACCCCAAGGTTAAGGAAACAGATACTACCTATGGGTTGAGGGTTCAGTGCTCAGCTGACGTGACAACTTCTAAATTCCTATGGCTATAAGGAAAAACACACTCTTACTA